GGGGGCGCGGGGGGGGGGGGGGGGGGGCGGGGGCGGCGGCTGTTCGTCAGCTCCGCCTCTCCGTCACCGTCCGTGCGATCGCCCTTCCGTCCGCACAGAAATGAATCCATTTAGAGATTACAGGCCTTTTTACCAGAGATTTCAAACTGAACCTCGTGTGTCGGTCCTGGAGGGGGCAGAAAACCCAAACTGAAGAAACCAACAGCCCCTCCACTGGTTAATAAAAAAATGGTATTTAGAAAAACGAAGAACTGAGGCTATCGTGTCTTTGAGGATATGATTGGCTGTGGATCGGCACACCTTCAAGAGTCATCTCTGGATGTCTGTGTGTTTCTGTCAACGGGGGGGGGGGGGGCAGGGGGAGTCCTGACGGTCAGTTCTGCTGGGTGCTGGCTTCTCGTCCCTTGTCGTCGTCGTCTGCCGGTGGAAGGCACACCGGGCAGCAGGTGCCTTTTAACTTGACGGGTCGTTGGCACTTGACTGGTGGACAAGACTCCACGAAGCAGGTGACCTGGGTTTTCTGGAGAAGAGTGGGGAGACAGCGCCACAGGTGTCAGGTGTCCGTCATTTTTGTTGTATATCAGTGGTCTCAAAACTTTACCTGCAGCGCCCCCTGTGGTAGATCAACACGTTCTAAGCTATTTCACATTTACATTCATGCAGTTAGCCATCGCTGTCCTCTCACATGAGGAGGATTAGCTACATGTTTCCATATGGGCTTGAACCCAAGACCTTCTGCATGTAAGGCAGATGTGGTAACCGCTGCACCACAGAACAAGCACTAAGCTAACTCAAATGGAACTTCAAAACCTCAGTTAAAATCAAGGAAATACTGAAAATAAAATAGATTAGGCTCGCTGCCCCCCCCCACTGGAGTAACTCTGCGACACTAGGGGGAGCCGCCCCCCGCAGATCTAACCACAGACCTGCACTGTCTGAGCATTACTAAGTCAAACATTTTAAAGTAGTAGTTACTGTATTATTAAACATTAGTTGTGTTTAATATATATATATGTACACATATATATATATCTTAGTATATATATTTAAATATATATATTTTTACACATATACATACATATGTATATATTTTTATATGCATATATATGTTTGTGTGTAAATATGTATTTATATACAGTATATACAAATATATTTATACATATATACACACGTATACAAAATGCGTGTGTACTGTACTGAACTGTACTGTACTGCACTGTACTGTACTGTACTGTACTGCACTGTAGTGTACTGTGCTGTAGTGTACTGTAGTGTACTGTGCTGTACTGTA